CTTGGCATTTCACGAGAACTACCAGGGTTGCAGCTGGGACCTGGCTCTGATGCTCCACCACTATCCTGAAATCATTAGTGAATATTGTTTTAGAAAAACTGTCACTTGGACTTGAAAAAAATGGTATTGGTGCATCATATATTTATTTAAAAATAAATCATACAATAAAACAGGGATGCCCAAATCCCAGGAGCTCCGAATGCTCCTTAACAATGACAGCTGCCTACTAACTTTTGAATTTTCCTCTAGTCTTGGAGCTGGAAAGGTATCAGTACTTGTACCGAGTAGGGTACTTGGTATCTGAACATCTCCAGTTTTAAACCTTCTCTTTTTGACTAGAGTTTATTACTGTCCCCATTAGTGACTTTGACATCCCTTAAAAAGGAAGTGAGGTGAATTCACATAAATGGGGACAGAGAAAACAATAAACAGTTGACTCTAAGAAGAAAAAAAATTATTTTCTTTTCGCCATACCTGGACTTTAAATTCCTACCCATGTTTGACAATGGAACCTTTTAGTACTGCACATCCACATTCTCCATGCAACTGTTTGAGTAGAATTTCCATAGGGTGCAGTGATAGGCATCTTCTTGAACATGTATAACAGCACTTTATAAGCTGTAATAAGGTCTAGAAGAAAAAGAGTGACGCTTCCTTCCTGCAATGCTGCACATAGCGTAATGCTGATTGACATCTGGAGCTTGTCATGTAAGGCCGATGTTACACTTGCGATCCTGCCACTGGTGAGAATTTTCCAGTGGCAGGATTACTGTGGAGAACCCTCTCCTTGCATAGATGCCTTCACCAGCCTAATGAGCAACACATTGGTTTTTGATGACTTAAAGAAGAACTCCAAGAAAACTTTGTTAACTCTTGCAGTAGGGCTACCCCCACACTGCAAGAGTTAAGTGCTTATACTCACCGATCCTTGGAGCTAGCCAGCTGTCACGGCGCTCCCTCCAGCCTCTCTCCTCCACTGCAGCATTTGAATCTTCCTCAGCATCCACATGTCTATACACTGTTTATACATGATGATTTATGGGACCTTAGAACGCTATAGAAGAGGGGGAGAGAGGCTCCAGGGTCCCGTCTAAGAACATGCTGGCTTAGCATCAGGTTAGTATAACCTTTTTTATTTTTACCTAGACAAAACAAACAGTTAACTCTTGCAGTGTGGGGGAAGCCACACTGCAAGGGTTAATATTTCCTGGAGTTCTTTAAACTCTGCAGTGGGAGAGTAATGCCTCCTTGATCCATCCGGCAAGGTATGGACGCATACAATCAAATTGAGTGTTTTCCATGTGCATTTAGCAATCCTGTCATTGGTGGGTATTTACAAGTGATGGGATCTCTATTGTGACATTGGTCTAAGACAGGAGTAGCCAGACTTTGGCTTTCCAGCTGTGTTAAAACTACAAATCCCATTTTTCTGGAAGTCATGCTTGTGGCTATCAGAATCTTGCAAAGCCTTAAGAGACTTCTAGTTCACAGTAGCTGGAGGGCTGATGTTTAGAAACCCCTGGGCTAAGGGCTCCTTATATTTTTTTATAAGCTATGATAAATGAACAAATATCTGGTAATTAGTAACATTGTAAAATTTCATCTCACAGCACATAAACATGCAAATTAAATATACAGAGGGAAATTTACCAACATCTGGAGCAGCTTTGCACAGCAACCAATTAGCTTCTCTTTCATTTTCAAATCTAAACTGAAAGAAGCTGATTGGTTGCTGTGCACAGCTGCTCCAGATTTTGTCTGCTCCAGTTTTGATAATTTCCCCTCACTGTATTTTACAGTAACTCAAATTGATGGCTTCCTGAACATAGTTGATGATTTCTTTTGGACTGAGCACTTTTCATTTTGGATTATATGGTTATACCTCGTCTCCAGTGTCCTGGCAAGAAAATAAGCCTGGCTGCACCTGTCTCATTGGTGACATTTGGAACATTTGAGACGTTACTGATTCCTGTGATATTCTATTAATAGCATTAGTCTGTGCCTGCTGGAGAACATAGTACAGTTGTATTGTGAAGGTTTGGACGGTGACCCAGTGTGTACATCCTCTGGCTCTCTGATAATGCAGCAGGCAGATAAGTGGCAGGCAGCATACTATGAGAGGTTGGAACGCCAGGCTCGTTTCATGTTCAAATTAGGAAAGTTATGTAAAAGAAACCAAACTCTTTGTTTACTATATATCCTGCGATCTGTCAAACCAATATGGATTTATTGCCTAAAATAAGTTGTCGTTTGCAGTGGACATTTGAGATTTCTATGGGATAGGATATCAATTATACAGAGCAGAAGAACCGGACACTTAGACTCTCTTTACTCACTCAAGTCAAGGTGACAGTGTTTGCAGATAGTCCATTCCTCATGTAGTTATACATGCCATGCCTCCTCCCTGAACTTCTAAAGCCCTCACTAACAAAGCACTATTTCTAGGTATAAGGGAGGATGTGACCTCTGCCATGTGGCAGTGCTTGGACTTGAGGGGCCAGTCACCAGGCCCCGCACACATAATCTGAGCCAATACAGATTGCATCAATAATATTCTGCATGGAGTTTGTACGGTTTTCCTTTGTCTTTTGTGGGGTCTTTTCACAATCTAAAACTATTGATAAGTTTATTGGCTTCCACTGTCAAATATGATTGTCCATTATATCAGTTGACATGGACTGATTTCATAGATTGTGTTCGGCGCAAACACTATGGTAGGGCTGCATTTAACGATTATTTTCATATTCAGTATGTTTGGCTGATTATTTTTTCGATTATTCAAATTTAAAAATAAAATAGATAAATGGAGTGTTACAAACATAATGTTTACTTAAGAATAAACCACATGCACCATTTTTGCAATCGTACCACACTGGAATGCACAGCATTGTGGTACCGGGCGTTTGGGTGTGGGTGATCACTGTGGGCGGGAGGTGTGTTTCGGGTGCCATTGAAATGGACGCACATCCCGCATTAGAATTTGTCAAGCCGAAACCAAATATTCCTTTTTTTTTTCCCCCCCCATTTTTTCTTTTCTTTGTTTTTCATGGATTTAAAATAATCTGCATTGGAAAAACACCAAGCCAATATAATAACCAAACCTTTAATAAAAGTATGAAAACCCGATCATCAGTTTAGACTTAGCCATGAATAATGGTCCGAGAATATAGCTTTAACTGGGGAAGGAAAATACAGCAGGCAGTGGCTGGGAGCAATAGCCAACCTGCTATTGGTTATTTTAAATCGCAATAGCCAATAGCAGGCCGTCTATTGCACCCGCTTGCTGTCAATCAGCAGAGGCACCTAAAGAAGAAAGTTCTCCTTCAGGTGGTCCTCTGCTGAGTGACAGGAGGCAGTGGGTGGGTGCAATAGCAACTGGCTATTGCTCCCAGCCGGCTTTCTACCGCTGGCTACAAGTCTCCTAACCGGCAGGGAACGGTGCTGGACACATCGATGGCACAGAGGAGCATGATGGCTGAAGGGGGCGGCTGGCACGGTCGAACATGGCGGGGGACGGGTGGCACGGAGGAGCATGGTTACTGACAGTGGTGACACAGGGGCAGCTAACGCTGGTATCTCCTCCCCACTGGATTCCGGCTGCAGCAGTGGAGGCTCTAGAGAGATCAAGTTGTTGGACCTCTGCTCACTGCTGGGCAGTGGCTGCAGGGGAATGTGTCCCCTCTCATCCCCGCTGGGAGCATCAGAGATCAGAAGGGACACAGAGCCCATGAAACAACTAATCAGGCAATCAATCAACTGATCGGTAATGAGAATCATTGACAACGATTCTCATTATCGACTATCCATACAGGTGAAACTCGAATAATTAGAATATCGTGCAAAGTTCATTTATTTCACTAATGCAACTTAAAAGGTGAAACAAATATATGAGATAGACTCATTACATGCAAAGCAAGATAATTCAAGCCGTGATTTGTCATAATTGTGATGATTATGGCTTACAGCTCATGAAAACCCCAAGAACCCCAAATCCACAACCTCAAAAAAGTAGATTATTACATGCAATCAATAAAACAAGGATTGTACATAGAACAATATCGGACCTCTGAAAAGTACAAGCATGCATATGTACTCAGTACTTGGTTTGGGCCTCTTTTGCAGCACTTACTGCAATTACTTTTGCACGATATTCTAATTATTCGAGTTTCACCTGTAGTGTAGGGCTGCAACAACTAAAGTATTGCCATTAAGTTAATACATGTGTAACAAGCACATTACACTAGTTATTTGAATGTTTATTGTTCAGTTTATTTTTATTAGCAAATATGTATACATGTAATTCATGAATATAGTTCTGTGGGGTATTTTTTCCCCAAAAATAGTTTTTCTATAATTTGTTCATCTTGTCATTTTATTTATTTTTATACATTGTAGGGCACAAGTGCGGAGCAGGATAATCGCTTTAGCAACAAACAGAAGAAGCTTTTGAAGCAGCTGAAATTTGCAGAATGTCTGGAAAAGAAGGTACAGTTTTGTTATTGAAATATTAACCTAGGCAACAGTTAATCTTTTTGCTGCTGGGGTTACATTATTGATTTAATGGAGAACACCACCAATATTAAAATGATATAGTGTGCAGGGCATTAACTCTTGACACATGACTTTAGTTGGAATCCCTTTGACACTGCAATGCTCATGGTGGAGTTTTGAAATTGATAGATCACAAAACCACAGTTTTGGTTTGAGCGATGCTTGCGTATAGCGAGTATAACCCATTTAGCCACCTCCAAGCCCATATGCACACAACAATATTAAGAGTACTCACCCAAACACTCGATATTGGCACCAATACTAGTATCGGTATTGGTGCATCCCTAGTTTTTGTGATGGGAGTTGAAAGGCCCTCTCTTTACCAATGTATTAGACTTCTAACTCCAGGTTGTGAGTAATTATATCTTAATGCTTTGTTTTGCATTGTAGCAAAAATTACATTATATCTTCTTTTTAGGTGGAAATGAGCAAAGTAAACCTGGAAGTAATCAAGCCCTGGATAACAAAGCGTGTAACAGAAATCTTGGGGTTTGAAGACGATGTGGTCATTGACTTTATTTTCAACCAGCTGGAAGTGAAGGTACTCCTCATGGAAGGTTTAGGGCATTGTTTTATTATGTGAATGCAATGTGTTTGACTTAGCATGTACATTGTGTGACCTTAATGCCAGTGTTGGTGGAAAAAGTTTAGCTGAAGGTACATGGTATTCAGACTGCAAGTCAGGAAGAAGTTAATGTTTTGCTGTGTGACATGATGGGTTAGATGGCAGTTTTCTAATGATGATGTGATTTATGATTTAAAAGGCCTGAACCAAAATGGAAGTTATTCCTTGCGTGTGAAGTATAGCACCATCACCTATTTAGGGCACAGCAGAGTGAGTGTCCAATGTCGCTCTGACCCAACTCTTGATGATGCAGTGTTTGTTCTGGAGGTGAGTTGTGTTACGGTGGATGAGAAAAAAAAAACCAAAACAAAAAAGCACAGTAAAGTTATGCATAATTAAAATTAATTTACACAGTTTAGCATAAGGGTATTCCATAGTTTATAAAAAAAACATTTTCTATTGCCTTCAGCGGGTAAGAAGATTTGGTTGCCTTCAGCATAATAAAATGTACTTAAGTGTTTATATTTTACTATACTAAACTTTATAACTTAGTAGAGGATCTATCATGTGTTTGAACTCACTTCTTTGTTTAAGCAAAAATACGCTGTCTTTATTTAATATTGATCAAATTATTAAGCGTTCAACATTGTAATCTATATACACTTTAAAAACATAAGGTCCTCTCAGTATCCATTCAAAGTGCTTTTTTGAATGTGACCAGTTCTACTCTGTTTTTTATATATGGGATGTTACCGTATTTCTTTAAACTGCACCTGTGCCCACACTATTGACATTTACTATTTACATATTTTTAACAAGCAGTAAAATAGTTTTATAGAAACATAGCACCCCGAAATCTCCCAACAGCTTATAATGTGAAGGTATTCATTCTCACAAATCGCAATAGACTCACCGGAACACCCATGCAATACAATAAAGGGTTTGCAGCCTGCCAAGATTGTAAATACGTTGGTATGCATAGTCTGGACACAGGTTTACTTTAAACACTCCACTGTTAACAAACAAGTTGGTCCAGAGATCAGTTGGATGCTTGCAAGTCAGCCAAGATAAAAAAAAAAAAAACATTTTAGCTTTTGTAGTGTTAATTTGAAGCATGAGTAAAAAGAATAGATATTTGATATCTTTATATTTGTGGTTGTGTACTCATTATTGCTTGTTCATTTTTTGCAATTTAGATAAATGATATAACATTAAACTCAAGGTGGTTGAGTTGCAGTAGGCAGTCGGAAGCAAGCCAAGCGAACACCTTTCTCTCCAGGGGAACTTGGAGATAACCCAAACCTCCCCCCAAGGTTCCAAGAAGAGGCTGAAGACTGCTGGAATCTGTACTTTGTGCTGTTGCGCTGTGCTTGTCAGAAGGATCTATATTGCTTGACTATGTACATATTCCAAACCGCCCAGTGATCTATAAAACCTTTTAAGCCTTTGTGGACTATACCCCTTATGATTGTTACCCCCCAGCTTAGTCATTTGACACATTGTAGGGCCATGCACAAAAGTCTTCTGTAGTCAACAAAGTTAATAGCAATTCATATGTAAAATTGTTTTGTAGTGCTGTTGCTTATGAAGTACATAGAATAGACTTTGCAAAGTCAAATGTGCAGGTATATAAACAATTTGGCAACATCCACAAAGGGTTAACAGGCCATTATTAATGTGCAGTCATTTGGCATGTATGCCACAAAGACCTACTAAAATGTAGTTTTCCCTAAATGTACAATTAGTAAAAAAACACACCTTGTTGAAATAGTTGTCAGTACTCACCTGTAAATCTTCCTGTTGTCTCTCTCTTTCAGAACCCAGACTCTAAAATGATGCAGATTAACTTGACCGGCTTTCTAAATGGCAAAAATGCCCGGGAATTCATGGGAGAGCTGTGGCCACTACTTCTGAGTGCCCAGGAAAATATTGCTGGGATTCCAACAGCATTCCTTGAACTGAAAAAAGAAGAAATCAAGCAGAGACAGGTGTTTTATTTTATTTAGTATCTTTTTATCAAGAGTCTTAACTAGGGTGATGTCAGACATGCATTTCAGCATCATGTCAGGTTAAGAGCTAAAAGTTGCTCAACCAGTGTTTTTTTCAGTGAATTGCCACTTTTTATACTTGTCATTAGACCATAGCTGCAACAACTGAAATTCATGAATGTGAGAAATGCTCGGATGCTTTGTTAGGGATGCACCGATATTAGTACTCGTACTCACCCAGATACTTCTGATGCTTATTTCCGATACCGGAACATCAGGAAGCTGGGCGGCAAGTCATTACACGCTGCCTGGCTTTATGCTCCATCGTTACTTGGTGATGAGGCAGCATGGAGCCGTCTTCCCGGCCAATCAGGAAGCCGTTGCTTCGATTCCTAAAGGACATTGTACTGTTTTAGTAAGTTTCCTTGTCTTCAAAGGCCCAGGTTGTCATTTTATAGGGCATGGTGACAGGTTTCTTGTCAATGCATATTTGCAGCATGTTAGTTATAGGCCTTATTCACAACCTTCAGTGCACAAGTTATCATTTTTAATTAAGTGTGAATGGGACCTTATAGTTTCCTTTTTTAATACACACTAAGCTGCAGTGCATATATGTGAATGAGCCACATGATCAGAAGATTGCTGTACCGTGACCTCTCATCTTTTCTCAAAACAAACTGGTTAAATGATATCAGACATGACCCCTGGCGTTATCTTCACCTGCTATCGTCCTCTCATACTTCAGCATACTATTTCTCCTTATGAGACAGATGTGAAGTTGTGGGCCAAGGATTTCCCTATCAATTTAGCAGCAAAAGCATTACTGAGTTATCGAAAAATGTGTATATTAACTCTATCAAATGTATGAAAAACGGTATTATAAGTAACACTCAACATGGATTTTTGAAAGACTGCCCTTGTCAGACCAATCTGTTAATGTTCTATTAGGAAGTAAACAATAGTTTAAATAAAGGAAGGGCAGTAGACATAATTTATCTGGCATTTGCACAAGTATTTGCCTCGGTGCCCCACATACACTTAATTTACAAAACAAAAGTGGTCACTTGTATATACATTGATTGAAAGCTGGCTTCAGGAATGGGTACAGAGGGTAGTGGTAAATGATTCAACCTCTAAATGGGCTAGGGTTTTGAGTGGTGTACCCTAGAGCTCTGTCTTGGGGCCAGTGCTGTTTATTTTGTTTATAAACAACATTGAGATTGGAATTAACCCCCTTCATGACTGGAGATGTGCACTGTACGTCCTGCCACCAAGTGCCTATATGACTGGCCACATGCACTGTACGTGACCAGTTATTTGCAGCTCTGTAATGCTGGTAACCGCTGATTCTCAGCGGTTACCATTCATTAATGTACCTATCTGTCCTCTAAAAATCAATATATAATATGAGTGGGTACATTTAGTAAGAAAGTATTACTGCTGTGGAAGAATCACATAGCATAAATGTAAAAAGTGTGTCAGTCATTTACGAACAGAAACTGAAAACTAGCTCGGTCATGAAGGGGTTAAGAGTTAAATTTCTGTATTTGCTGATGTTACAAAATTATTCAGAGAAACAACTTTGTCACAGGATGTGGCAGCATTACAGGAAGACCTGGATAAAATAATGGGATGAGCCGAGTCTTGGCAGAGGTTCATTGTGGAGAAATGCAAAGTTATGCATTTGAGTGCTAACAATATGCAGGCAAGATACTCGTTAGGAGGGGGTTACACTGGAAGGATCCGAGTTACAAAAAAGATTTGGAGGTTCTAGTGGACCATAGACTTAGTAACAGCATTGCTTCTGCATTTGAGCGATACATTGATACTCTTACCTCTTTACAAAGCACTGGCTCGGCCTTACCTTGAGTATGCAATCTAGTTTTGGTCACTAATCAACAGAAGAGATGGTCCTAGAATTGCAAAGAGTCCAGTGAAAGGCAAAAAAAATTTGGGGCTCAGCTTTGAGGAACAATTAAGTAAACTTACTCACGTTAGGGATAGTTGGAGTCAACGTGTGACATTGAAACTGTCACACATCGACTCTATATATCGGGAAGTGAGCGAACACATACCATCATTCGCTTTACTTCCCAATCATCTCCCTGAAGAGAGCAATGACTGTCAGTCACCGCTCCCCCATGGGTTTCCCCCCTCCCTTATCCTCCAGTGCTGACTGGAGAGTTGGGGGAGGGCATAGCTGGCTCTGCCTCTAGCGGGCAAGTAGCCTGCTATATACTCAGTTTTGGGTCACGGGAGGACGTTAGTATATGTGATCCTGTGACCCTAAAGAGAACTCTGGGGAAAAAGAGGTTACCTGATAGTTCTCTTTTAAAGTAGAATTGAAGCGAAAACTTTTTTTTTTAGTTTTGGCCAGTGTAAGGGAACCCCTGTCATTTTTTTACATTTATTTTTTTTAATCTTTTAGGGAGATTTCCCTTTCACTTCTTGCACCCCGATTGAGTGATTTTTCCATCTATTCCTTTTGTGATTACCATCCAAAATTTGTGATTTTTTTTCTTTCACTTTCAGTGATATCGATCACCAGGACAAGGGTGAATGTCCCTAACAGACAAAGACGGCAATAAAGACCTGACTGATATTTTATTCCCTCTCTCCCAAGTTAATAGGGACTATATAAAGTCAGTAAACACTTGTTTAATCTTGGGTCCTTGATGAGGACACGTGGCCAGAATATAAGGTTGAAGATTTAATCTGAAATTGGGGAGGGATTTCATTACAATCAGAGCAGCAAAAGTGTGTAACTGCCTTATCCAAATAGTGGTATCAGCTCGGGGCTATTGGCAGATTCAGAAAACTTCTAAATGCCTTCCTCACTGGGTACGATATAAAGGATATGTAAACACTTAAACATAGTTACTCATGGTAACCTGGGAATTAACATCCCTTTTATACCTAGAGAAACTGCATGCAGAATTCTTTAAAGGCAAAACAAAATAATCAGTTTTTCAAAGGGTGGAAATGCTTTATTGCTGCATAATTTACAAAAGAATAAATATATGATCTAAAATTTAAATATACAGGTGAAACTCGAATAATTAGAATATCGTGCAAAGTTCATTTATTTCACTAATGCAACTTAAAAGGTGAAACAAATATATGAGATAGACTCATTACATGCAAAGCAAGATAATTCAAGCCGTGATTTGTCATAATTGTGATGAATATGGCTTACAGCTCATGAAAACCCCAAGAACCCCAAATCCACAACCTCAAAAAAGTAGATTATTACATGCAATCAATAAAACAAGGATTGTACATAGAACAATATCGGACCTCTGAAAAGTACAAGCATGCATATGTACTCAGCACTTGGTTTGGGCCCCTTTTGCAGCATTTACTGCAATTACTTTTGCATGATATTCTAATCGAGTTTCACCTGTACTGCCTGGTATGTTAGAAATTGTAATGAGGCTCATCTAGCCACTTGCATAGCTCAAACTATCTTCTGATGATTATGTATATTTTGGTAATACAGTCATGGCCACAAATTTTGGAACCCCTGCATTTCAGTCAGATAATGCACCATTTTGTGCAGAAAATTGTTGCAATCATATGTGTAGGCATTCTCATGTTTCTTTTTGTCTATTAGTATGACACAAAAAAGCCAAATCTGACACATTCCACGCAAAACTCAAAAAATGGACTGAACAAAATTATTGGCACCCTCAATTATTATTTGTAGCACTGCCTTGTAAAAATTAATTTAAATCAATGAGTTTCTTACACCTCTCTACGGGAATTTTGGACCACTCTTCTTTCCACAACTGCTCCAGGTCTCTCAGATTTGATGGGTTCCTTTTCCCAACTGCTGTTTTGAGATCTCTCCACAGGTGCTCTATTGGAATCAGATCTGGGCTCATTGCTGGCCAGTCCAGTACTCTCCAGCGCTTTGTCTGAACCCATTTCTGGGTGCTTTTTGACCTGTGCTTTGAGTTATTGTCCCCTGTGGTAAGACCCATGACCTCTGACGGAGACCCAACTTTTTGACACTGGGCCCTACATTGCACCCCAGAATTCTTTGGTAGTCTTCAGATTTCATAATGCACACAGTCAAGACATCCAGTGCCTGAAGCAGCAAAGCAACCCCAAAACATCAGTGAACCTCCACCATGTTTGACTGTAGGGACTGTATTTTTTTTTCTTTAAAGGTCTCATTTCTTTTTTGAAAACAGTAGAATGATGGGCTTTACCAAAAAAAGCTGTTAATTTTGTGTCCTACCAATACAAACAAAAGACATAAACATGAGAATGCCTAAACATTTGTAATTGCAACAATTTTCTGCGCAAAGTGGTGCATTGTCTGACATGTCCAGATAATCCTTTATTATGCCCTCTAGCATTTTACAAACTACCGATGTTAGACTGACCGGCCTATGTTTCTGTTTCTTTGTGGTTTGGAGATATAGGCTGTCGCCTTGTAAACTAATTGGGCAATACTAAAGTGACACTAAACTTACAAAAAATGAATTCAGGAACCTTAAACTATTAAAGCGGACCTTTACCCATATGTTTAAAATAACAAACACCTTTTGAAATGTTTAATGGCAATCTATAAACCGATGCTTCTAGATAACTGCCGGTTTTTCTTTTCTTCTCCAGTCTTCTGACAGTGGCCGTGTTTACTAAGGGCAGATTACTAGCTCTCCTATTACTTCCTGAAAATCTGGCACATGTGACCATGCACATCATCTCAGGGAAGGAAAATGCCTTTCACTGAGATGAGATTTCCCAGCAATGCTCTTCTGATGACAAAGCAATCCTAGTGTGCATTGCGCTGTCAAACTGGAGTCATTTGCACTTTCAAAGCAGGAAGGGAATGCACTGCAAGTGTAAGTATTTCAAAATCACAGCATTGTACACCTGACATGTCTGTTATTATTAATCAGACATAGATGGATGCATTGGGAGAATTTGATTTTTGGGTGTAAAGGTCCGCTTTAGCAAAAATTTCAAGAATTCAATGGCTGCCATACTGACAGTAGGTCCTGTCCTGTCATGTAAACCAAGGATGTAGGTTTAACTGAAGTCCTGGATCTGTGGCCGAGGTCTTCTTTTTACCTGGTTAACCATTAAGAAAAATACTTATTTTCAGTAGCCCATGATTCAAATCAAAACTTTTCTTTTAGATTGAACAAGAGAAGCTTGCATCTCTAAAGAAACAAGATGATGACAAAGAGAGACGAGACAAAGATGACAGAGACAAAAGGGATCGTTCTAGAACTCCAAGGAGGTAATAGGTTTTTTACTTCTGTATACTCTTTCTGGTATTTCACATCCTGATCAAATTTGTTTAAAAAAAGGCACAATAAACCATGTGTGCAAATCCAGTAGCAAAACTCTCAATGCTCAGTCTGTGTATATATCATTGATTTTTCTCTCCTAGGATTCTTCCCAAATACTTTTGGCAGGTGTGAGATACTAGTTCATTAACAATATCCACATTTGGCTGTCCTAAAATGTGTTTTTGTTTTTGGGGGTTTTTTAGGCGTAAATCAAGGTCATCATCACCACGGAGAAGGTCTCCAAGCAGGAGAGAGAGGAAGAGAAGCCACTCTCGTTCACCAAGACACAAAACTAAAAGTCCAAGCCCTTCTCCAGTGTTTGAGAAAAAGGAGGTGGAAATTCAAGAACCTGAGCCTTCTCTAAAAGTGAAGGAACCATCTGTACAAGAGGCAACCTCATCAAGGTAATTATCAAAAGTAAACATTAAAGACCCCAAACATTAATATATATTTTTTAAAGCAGAGACCTTGTAGAATTAAATGGTGGCAGTTGGAATTTTTTTTTACACGATATTGCACAACTGTTTATATATATTTTTTTTTAAAAAACCAAATGCAAATTAATTTACTGTATACAAAAACAATATAATACTTCATTTTTTAAAAATATGTACTGAGTAAATGGATGCCAAATATGTTAAGCCTTAAAATCACAAGCATCCTTGACGGTACTCAAAATTGTCCATAGGCGATGCTTTAAAAACCTTTTTATTGGTCAATTTAGGTTTAACCATGAATAATGGTCCTAGAATTATTGCCCTCACTCTCGCATGCACGGCAATACCCAACATGTGTGGCGCAATCATTGTTTTCATTTATAGGTGCACCCAACAAAGGCAGGGGGTGGATGATTTTTATTATTTTCTTTTCTCTTAACCTTTATTGCTATCACACAGCCAACAACTTACTGAGGGAGTGTATATGAACTCCCAGCTCCTTAAGAAGCAAGGGTCTGATTGTTTTTTTTTTTTTTTTTTTTTTTTTTCTTGTTTTAAAATGACAGCAGATATGAAGCCTATAAGAGATATGGAAATCTAAAGATTTTTATTTTCTTAGCTCTAATTCTCTGGGAGACAATGCTTTACTCCTTTAACACTTTAATTTTTTACATTATGCCTCAACCGACTCATTACTTTTGGGCAAAAGGAAAGCTTGCAAAATTTAGTGGTGAAATTACTTCAGTAATTCTTGTTTTTTGTACAGCTATTGCTTTGCTTTTCAATTATATTTCTATTTGCATTTTTTAAATTTCGTATTGAAATGTTATTTTGTTCAATTTTCTGCAGTTCCAAAATGGTGGCAATGCAAGACTCAGACAACTTAACCATCTGCTTCTTTTCACTCAGTGATATAGTGAAAGCTTCCAAACCAGATCTTGTGGTAGAAACAAAGGAAACATCACCTGAGCCCAACTCACGAAAGCTAAAAGAGAAAGAGCGACATCGTCACAGATCACGCTCGCGCTCAAAATCGAAATCTAAGTCTCATTCCCCTTCCCACTCTAGAACGCGCAGACGTCACCGATCAAGATCTAGGTATTTACCAATGAATTGCAGTAGAATTTTCATTATTTTTGCATCTATTTCAGAGGTGTTCTTTTGCTTTTTATGTAATGAACACTTGTGTGTATACATGTAGATTAATCTCATGTGACTTTTTTTTTTTAATGATGTTGAATACCTGTTATAAAAATGAATTTTCAGGTCTTACAGTCCTAGGAGAAGACCCAGCCCACGACGTAGACCTTCACCAAGGAGGAGAAGTCCACCTCGCCGCATGCCACCACCTCCTAGGCACAAGAGAAGTAGGAGTCCAGTCAGGCGGTAAGTTATGGGTTAAGGCAGTCCTATAAGAAACAACTTTTTAGACGGTATGAATATTGCAGGGATTTTTTTTCTGAATGTCTGTTAGCATTCATTATGGAACACAGAATATATTTGTAGTATACAGTGAGGGGGATTTATAAAAAGTGGAGCAGAGAAAATCTGGAGCAACTGTACATGGCAACCAATTGACTTAATTCTTTCATTTTCAAATCTTAACTGAACAAACTGAAAAGAGAAGCTGATTGGTCGCCCTGGGTAACTGCTCCAGATTCTCTCTGCTCCGGTTTTGATAAATTCCCCCCAGTGTATTCAGATCCCCATAATGACAAAGTAAAAACAATTTATTAAAAAGAAGAAACTGAAATATCACATGTACTTAATTATTCAGACGCTTTACTCAGCACTTGGTTAAAGCACCTATTGCAGCAATTAAAGCCTCCAGTCTTTTTGGGTGTGATGCAACAAGCTTTGCACACCTGGATTGGGGGATTTTCTGGCATTCTTTGCAAATCCTCTCAAGCTCAGTCAGGTTAGATGGGGGCCGTCGGCCATTTTCAAGTTTCTCCTTTTTGGCTTTGTGCTTAGGATCGTTCTCATGTTGAAAGGTAAACCTTTGGCCCAGTCTAAGGTTGCCCATACACTGCACGATTATCGTACGATAATCGTATGCGATCGGGTTTTCGTACGATAATCGAGCAGTGTGAACGGAGACGTGCGACCGTTTCTACTGTACGGTCGCACGTCTTCTGTCGAACCAGCATGTTCGAAAACCAGCCGGGAATCGTACGATTCTCGGCTGGTTAGAACGGTGCTCGGAAGATAAATGCTGAACGGGCCGGTGTGCGCACGCGCACACTGCCCGTTCAGCATTGCGGTCATCGGAAGCCCGCCCCTCAGGAGGGCGGGCTTGCGATGATCGAGAGTGCGATCTGCCTGTCCAAGATAGGCAGATCGTACGTTTTTTTAATCCCTTTACAACCATCGCAAGACTAAAGTCTTGCGATGGTTGTAGAGTGTATGGCCACCTTAAGATCCTGAGCGCTGTGGAATAGGTTTTCATTGAGCGTATCTCTGTACTTTGCTCCGTTCAGCTTTCCCTCAACCCTGATCATTCTCCCGGGTCTGCTGCTGAAAAACACGCCCACAGCTTGTTGCTGCCACCACCATGCTTCACTGTTGGTAGGGTATTGGGTAGGTGATGAGCAGTGCCTGGTTTCCTACAGACAGAACGTTTAGAATTGAGGCCATACAGTCCAAACTTGGTTTCATCAGACCAGAGAATCTTGTTCCTCAGTCAGAGTCCTTCAAGTTCTTTTTTTGCAAACTCCAAATGGCTTTCATGTGTTTTGCACTGAGAGGCTTCTGTCTACTCCTAGGCACTCTGCCATATAGGCCAGATCGGTGGAGGGCTGCCGTGATGGTTGTCCTTCAGGAACTTTGTCCCATTTCCACATGTGAACTTTCAGTGCAACAGAAATTTTTGTGTAGCCTTCCCCAGATCTGTCTTTCTATAATGTTGTCTCTGAGCTCTGCAGGCAGTTCCTTTGACCTCCTGGCTTTTGCTCTGATACAGTATGCATTGTCAGCTGTGAGGCCTTCTATAGAGAGGTGCGTGCCTTTCCAAATCATGTCCAATCAATGTAATTTACCACAGGCGGACTCCATCTGAGAAACTTCTCAGCAATGATCAAGAGAAATGGGAGGCACCTGAGCTAAAAACTCAAGTGTTGTTGCAAAGGGTCTAAATTCATATGCCAATGTGATATTTCAGTTTTTCCTTTTTCATAAATTCACAGGCATTTCTAACATTCTGTTTTCACTTTGTCATTATGGGGTACTGCATGTAGATTAATGAGAAAAAAATAATTTAAACAACTGTAGTATCAGACTGCAACATGACAAAATTGAAAAAAATGAACGGAGTCTGCATACTTTTTGGATGCACCTAAGCGAAATTTGGCAACAAATTTGTGTGTACCTAGAAGTTAGAGTTGGCTTTATAACTTATGTTCATGTTGCCTGTGTCAGAGAATTTGCTAAGTAATTGTAAAATAAAAATGTATCATACAGAAGGCGACGCTCTTCAGCATCTGTATCTGGAAGCAGCAGCTCTTCCTCATCATCACCGTCACCCCCACCTCCAAAGAAACCACCCAAGAGAGTGTCTTCTAGCCCACCACGCAAGCCTCGCCGCTCACCCCCATCTGCTAGTCCTCCAAGAAGGCGTTATAGACAGTCTCCTCCACCAAGCCCTCCGCCAAAAAGGCTTTCTCCCTCTCCACAGACCTCTCGTCCCAGAAAGCTTCGAGGATCTGTTTCTCCTTCCCGTGTACAAGGTAGGTTTTACCCCCCCCATTTTCTCTTTTCGTATAGAAAATCCTTGGTTTTCCAGGAGTGACTATGCAGTCATTTTATGTTTAGAAGTTTGATTCCAGTCTTTTGAAAGTGCAGTTCTAGAAATGTTATACATGTGAGCAAAAATTAGCTTTTAGGGCCTGTTCACACGACGTCCGTTTTGGGTGCTGACCGGATCCGTACGCTGCTGCACTAAAAATGCATCCCAATGTATCCCTATGTGTTTTATGGGCTACAGTTCTCACGTGCGCAGTCCGTTCAGCTTACGACAGAAAAAATACTGCATGTCACATTTTGTCTGCTTCGGAAGCGCACGAAAACGGAAGGGAAACGCAACGCAATGCAGCTAAGGAAAAAAAAAAATCGTATTCTTGCTCCACTTATGATATCAACGATAGACAGACAGGTTGGGGGTAGAGGTAACGACATGAACTGCAAACATTTGGAACATGCCCATTACCTTGCCATGGACATATGAGTAAAGGAAAAAAAAAATATCCGGGTGACCTCGCAAATCCTCATACAAACTCCAGAACTGACCCTTGGAGTCCCGGAGGCTCAAGATCGGGTGTACCCAATAACGACGTCTCCTGCTGGCTCGTTCTCTGCAGATTGCTGTAGCCAGCACCATCAACATGCCTGCAAATATGTGATACATGTCTGATCACCAGCTTTACATACACAAAGGGAAGTAGATGTTCCGAGAGGGCTGAATCTGCATACTGACAGCCCCTTGGCTAAAAAAAAAATGAACTGTCAGCATCCGGACCGAAAACGCACAGCATCAGCAGCTCCACGTCTGCTGATCAGGACCTGATCTCATGTGAACAGGCCCTTAGGCTGGGTTCACACCTAGGCGATTCGCGGTAAAAAAAAAAGCGTGACAAACGAGCGTTTCCGAGGGCTACTTGGCTGTATCCCAATGGAAACGCGAGACCAAAACGCCCCAAAGAAGTACATGTACTTCTTTGGGCGTAGGCCGTTTTGTAGCGAGTTCAGACAGGCTGAAATACGGAACGGTGTGAACCAGACCAATTGAAAACAATGGGATTTAGATGTTTGAGCGTTTTGTAGAGCGTTGAACGCGCGACAAAACGTAAAGGTGTGAACAGGGCCTTAGGATAGCTGTCTTAGGATGCTTTTACTGGATGTTACACTATTTAGTTCTCAAGGTAAATTGTAGCAGTACCTCTCCTTGAAGATAGCATTACATGTTGGTCCTGCCTGCAGATCATTTTTTGAAAGATGTTAAATGAAAAGCGCCAAAAAACTCTTTAAGCAGTTACAGCAAGTGGGGTTTTTTTTTTTTTTGTCATTTATGTCTTTTTTAACAGAGCACTAAGGCCCAACCTTTTTTTTTTTGCCATAGTTCTCTTCACATGAGGACATAAACGAATGTTCTCCTGTGACTCAAAAATATGCTGAGAGTGCAGGGCCGCAGCCAGGATGCATCTACCACAGCTGCCTGATTGAGGCAGAGCCAGCTGTGCCCACCCCCTCCCCATCCGTTCCTCCTGCCTTTGCTGGAGGAACAGTGAGGGGAGGGGTGAACCCCTTCAGGGAGTGATGACCGTTACCATTCTCTGCAGGGAGGAGATCGGATTCCCGATCAATAGAGCTGACGTTTGACAGCTTCAGTGTCACACATCGGCTCTAATTTTGGGGATGAGTGTAATTCACTCTCCTTTTAACTATTTATTTTATTCTACCATCTAGTACCAAAACACAAACTTCCAGAAAAGCGGAAGACCCCATCGCCACCTCCAAAACCTCGCAAAACAGACACATCTGATTCAGGTGAGGTGATCACTTCAGCAGTAATATTTTCATTGATGGATAACCCTATATATATATAGATCGATAGATATCCATCTATCGATCTATATATATATCGGATTATTAAAATATCATATAGGTTCTTTATTAAGAATCTGACTTATCTTTGTAGATGATGAAAAAGGCGGTAAAATGGGAGCGTCGGATTCGGTACAGCAGCGTCGTCAGTACAGAAGGCAGAACCAACAGTCGTCCTCTGGTATAAATTACATCTTATTTTGTAACTCAAAGCAATTCCTCTTGAAATGTGATATATTATTTCCTATTAAAACCCCTTTTCAAAACTTGTAGGCAAGTGGCCTTAAGCTGTCTGTCTGAAAGACATGAGTTTGAAATAGTCTTATCACATTGAGTTCAACTGGCAGCATATATGAAAGTCTGTGTTAAGGATAGGCTAAAGTTGGGCAGGTGTGGCCTATGCTTGTGACTCATCCTTCTATTGCAGGGGTCTCAAACTCAATTCCCTCGGGGGCCACTCGACACATTATTTTCTCCCATGGGGGCCGCTTGCCAAATTTTATACTTTAAAATAAAATGTAACTATATGCGGTTTGGTACTACGGACCCTAATACACACACAAAAGGCCCCATTCATATGTGTAGGTTTAGGTGCGATTAGGGATTCCTGAGTCAGAAACTTGCGTTTTCCTGCAGCAGAAATCCCTAATCTGGTGTTTACAAGTGACAGCTGTCACCTATTCAAGTTAATGATCAGGTGACAGAAGTTGCATGTAAACTCCTGCACACCACATGTAATATGTGATCTGATATTACATGCGCTAGGAGAAAACTCCCTGAATGCACAATCATTGCGTCCAGAGAGAGTGATTGATTCCTAACCGAATGTAATCATATCACGTATCATTACATGCGGTGTGCAGGCGTTTACATGCAACTTCTGTCACTGATCATTAACTTGAATAGGTCATCCATGACAGCTGCCCCTTTTTAAATGCCAGATTAGGGATTCCTGCTGCAGGAAACGCATGTTCCTGTCCCCCTAATATAAAATATTTTCCATTCCCCCCACACACACGTAAAATAAAATACACAGCCCCCTCTCCTGCTTACATTGCATCTGTGAGCCACGATCATCCGTGACCGCGTAACAGACTTGTGAGTTGGCTTCGGGCCACATACCGGTAGTACCGGCTCGCCGGCCGGTACTTTGAGACCACAGGTCTATTGGATAACTTGGCAAGGATATTGCTACAGATCCCAGCAGAAATTGGTTTGTTCAGGGTCCAATGTTTTGCCACTTTACTCAGATGTTTGCCTCTTTTAAACTGGCCATACACCTATAAATTATCTGCAGATTTTCTATGGTCAGATAAAAAAAAAGTGCAACAGATTCCTCCATCTACGCTAAACTGTGTGGATGGAGGAATCTCCCACTGGGCCAAGCTTCAGTATCTTGCTTGTCAGCCCCGCTGGCTCTCAAAATAACTGAACAATGCCTGCATCCAATCAGATTGTTCAGGTATTTTGAGAGCCAGCGGGGCCAACTAGGAAAATACTGAAGCTTGGCCCAGTGGGAGATTTCTCCATCCACACAGTTTTGCATAGATGGAGGAATCTGTTGCACTTTTTTTATCTGACCAATGAAAATCTGCAGATAATCTATAGGTGTATGGCCAGCTTTAGAATAGCTAGCCTTGTTTTTTGAAACCCTAAGGCCCGGTTCACACCTGGGCGTTTTGTAGCGTGTTCCTACGCTCTGCAAAACGCTCCAACACCGAAATCCCATTATTTCCTATGGGTATGGTTCACACCTGGGCGTAGTACAGGCCGTATGAACGCGCTACAAAACGCCCTACGCCCAATGTACAGGAGCTTCTTTGGGGCGCGTATCCATTGGGATACAGCCAGGTAGCTCTCGGAAACGTGTGTTTGTCGCGCGTTTTTTTTACCGAGATTCACATACTCGACAAACGCGTGTATTCGATACGCCTAGATGTGAACCCAGCCTAAAGCTATTAAGGGGAATTGGCTACTCATAATCATCCCTAGAAGAGCGAAACTCTGAGGTCTTGTTTCCAGGGTTAGTTAGAAGGAATGACCTTCCACTTACATGTGACTCTTTTACTTATGTCCTGTGATTTGAGTTAGATTTCTGCAATTTTATAGACTCTGGATCATCCTCCTCTTCAGAGGATGAGAGGCCAAAGCGCGTAGCAGTGAAGAATGGAGAGGTTGGCAGAAGGCGCAGGCATTCAGCATCAAGAAGCCCTTCACCTTCAAAGAAAAGACCTAAGGATCCATCTCCACGGTACTTCTTTTAAAAAAATGTTGTGGGTAGAATTGAAGTTATAATGCATCTTTAGGTTTTAATGAGCTTGAAACTGTTTATTTCCTTCTTGCTGTCAGGATGCAGACTGTGAAAAGGTGGCAGTCACCTCTTCTTAAAAGGTTGGTTTAGGCATGGCTTTTGTCCTCTTGCAGCTGGTGTAGGTAGTTTCTACTGATTGATCAGACTGCTCCCCTGGTAGCATAATCTAGTATTCCCATTCTTGCTACAGTACTTGTATTACTTTATCTTGTGCTGTCTTTAATCTGTATTTAAAAATTCCTTGAGCATATAATTAACAAGCCTAATATAATCCCTAATAGTTTGGGAAAATATGGTACTTAAAAACAATTCATGCCAAACTTCTCTATGAATTTTGGGTCAATTTTCACTAAAGATATTCTTTATTAAACCTTAACCTGCATTCTCTTTTCAAGCCTTCAGTTGATATATCAGCCTTGTGGTGTTATTTTGGATTCTTCATTTTATTTTAATAATGTTAATGTCCCCATCAGTTCCTCAATTTAAATTCATTCTTTGCAGATAATTATTCTTCCCGTTCTGTCTCTAGGACAGAAAGCGAAGGGAATATCTCCAACAGCACACAACAAAGGACAGGGGTTTTAACTAAATCGTTATGACTTTACGTACATTAAGGGCTTGTTTACACCAAATCCAGTGCGTTCCTCACAGTTAGTGGCTGGGATGCGCTGCATTGCATAGAGCAAGCCTTCCTGCATTCTGGTGGTGCATTCAAATCAATGGCCATATGTCTCGCCCTGCAATGCGATTGCCCACACCAGAACGCGTGGCACAGCAATGCCTGCAGTACATTTGCAAAAAATAGTGTTATTGACTTGAATGCAACCGCACGCCCCCTCCCGACACAGAATGCAGAGAGGCTTACACACTGCATTTGGTGTGAACAAGCCCTAAAAATTCATATTTACATTTTGTTATGTATTGGCACTTCTGTATTTGTAAACAAAACAATTATTGTACTTTTACAGCAGAAGAAGGAGGAGTCCAACTCCACCTCCACCCAGAAGAAGGCGCAGTCCTTCTCCTGCTCCACCACCCAGGCGCCGCCGATCTCCATCTCCTCAAAGACGCAGGTAAGGGTTAATAAGATAAATCAAAATTGATGAAGTCCTTGTTTAAGTTATATTTAATTTCTTTAACAAAACCATATTAACTCTGTCAACAATGCCACGTTTCATTGAGATTATAAAATGACCGCCACATTTTTATTTACTTTATAGATCTATGTCGCCTCACAGACATACTTCTTCTCAAAGACGGTACTCACCACCCATTCAAAGGAGATACTCCCCCTCTCCACCCCCAAAAAGGAGGACTTCTTCACCGCTGCCCCAGCCCCCTCCAAAACGTAGACTATCACAGTCTCCTCCCCTTTCAAAGCACAGAGTATCGCATTCACCCCCACCGAAACTTAAAGGATCTCCTGGGGGAAAGAGGCGTTCTCCATCACTGCCCTCTAAACAACGAAAAGGAACTTCTCCTAGCCGACCAGGGCGGGAAACCCGGTCCCCACCACAAGCTAAACGTTCTTCACCTTCTCCACGTCCACGAGCAGCACGCAGCTCTGAGAGTCCTCTGACTCACAGGAGGGGAGAGTCTCCAACTCCTCCTAGGAGGCAGCAGTCCCCTTCACCAAGCACTAGGCCTATTAGACGAGTATCACGGACTCCAGAACCGAAGAAACCTATCAAGTAATTGTTTTTTTGGCCATCCATTATACTGTATAAATATTAAGTCTGGATAATAAATACTAATATTTGCTTTTTATTCCTAGGGAATCTCCCAGTCCACAGCCTGCAAGAGGCTCATCGTCGCGATCTGTTTCGGGGTCCCCTGAACCAGCTCCAGCAAAACAAATAGTCTCTCGGTCAAGATCTCGCTCTCAATCTGTCAACTGGTCTCCAGCTCCAGCCCCTGCTAAGAAAACCAAGAGTACCACCCCTAGCCCATCTCCAGCTCAGGTATGTAAACTGCATTTCTGAAAAAGTGAAAGAAACAACATATAATTAATTTACTAATTTATCAAAACTTCTTTTGCTGTCTGATGCCACTCCCTAGGTTATTTAATGCGGACCTTCACATCGTCAAAAATAAAGGCGCCTTTAAAAAAAAAAAGTTTAGAAATGGCAAATAGAAAATATATATTTTACTTTTAACTGCAAGCTTATGTTTTCTACAAATATATTTTTCGGCGTTTTTAGAGCTTTTCTCCTGGCCGTCATTTTAAGTAAGGGCAGAGTATTCTCTTTTCACTTTCTGGATTTCATTCCACTCCACATATGATGTAGTATGTGTAATCTCAGTAGGAGGTATAAACAGCTCAATAAACTAAGGAAATCTTTCAGGATGAAATGGTGACGTAGCATTCCCATGGTGCAGCTGTGAGGCTCTGGCTGCATCACCATTACCTAAAGAGATCAGGTAATGATGTGAAATTGTAACAGAGTTTAGCTTTTGTTTTAAAAAAAACTTGCAGATGCTTTGGGATTAGCATTCACCGGTTCATGCAATGTATTTGTGGGGGGAGGAGGTCTGCTTTAAATCCAGCTTTTGTTCAAAAAAATGTTGGAGCTACTATTATGAGCAAGTCTGTCATCATGTAGTAAATGTATAAAGATCATGGCCGATTTGCATATTCATGCTTCCTCTGTTTCAGTCCAGATTGTCAACCTATGTTTTGCAAAAAATTCCCTCCCCTCGCCCTACTCTTTAATAGAGAATGGTCCTGTCGGTCACTTACAAAAATCAAAATAGCGTTTCCTAGCAGGAGAAGAGCTGTACTACTCTGTCCAGGCCTTGTGTCTTCCTACCTTCCCTCCATTTCAGCACTGCAGCTTCCATCAGACTCTCCAGCTTTCAAAACCTCCAGGAGTGTCCGTCCCCTGTGTCTTCTGCTATGCACCATGGTTCTTTCCACCAACCTTGCATCACTACAAAGACACAACAGTGACATGGGGAATGCATGGTGGAACCACAGCCTATTGTGGGGTCGCAGACATCTGCACTCCCTGTAAATCGCTTTAAATATTTTGTTGTTGGTTTTGGAAGGGTTACATCATAAGAGCCAGTGTTTTAAGTACTGTTTTTTTTTCTTGTAGACCTCTGATCAGGATGGTGGTGGAGGTAAAAAGAAAAAGAAGAAAAAGGACAAAAAACACAAAAAGGAGAAGAAGCACAAGAAACACAAAAAACATAAGAAAGAAAAGGCTGCAGCTGTTGCATCTGCTGCATCTCCAGAACCCGTTGAACCTGAAATTGACGTAGACATTGAAGAAAAGAAGGTGAGGCAGACGCATGTTTGCTGAAGCTCCACATTACGAACACTACCATTCATAATCCATCCAGCTCCCGAAACTTGCCTTTTCCCTGGTTCCCAAACCTTAAGGTCACCTCTGCATTAAAACTAGAGGCATATGCTTTACCTTGTAGACGCTGTTAATTCTGGGGGTGGGAAACATAGGGAGCCCCATTAACAAGTTTCGGTAGCAAATCACTGTTCTGCCTCCTTTTCTGTCTTCTGCTGCAGCGTAATAAAAATTCTGCTGATGCCGGGCGTGTACCTCCCTAAACAAAAATCCTGTACATTTCCCCCCCACCAGGAGACTGAAAGTGATGGCGATGGAAATCTAGACGATCTGGAGAAGCATTTACGAGAGAAGGCTCTACGTTCCATGAGAAAAGCGCAGGTTTCCCCCCAGCCCTAGTGGTGTTCGCTTTCCAGTTACAATAGTGTACATTTTATATAATTTTTTTTTCAAATGGTTGAAAGGGAACCTGTGATGTGAAAAACACTTGTCTGCCATCGCTCCTGCTACTTCAAATCCTGGTTGCCTGGCTGTACTGGAATCTTTACTTGCTTAGTCACTAACTAGGGGCAAGCATGCAGAGCAGAAGTTCAGATGTTCCTCTAATTGCACTTGCTGCATACTGTTCCAATCCATATGGAATTTAAAGGATCAGTATGACAGCCAGGCAACTAGCATTTTTAAGAGGGGGGAAATGACAGGCTTTGAATTTCTCTCATGATAGGTTTCCTTTTAATGCTCGGAATTTTTTTCCAGTTGTTAATAGGTTGAAGTTTTGCTATGTTATCCCTGTAAATCATCCACACAATGACTCAAGGTGTTTGACAACTGCAGCTGTGAGATAATGCAGTTCAACTGTGCAGTCTTAGGCCCCTTACTGTATTTGTTCATTCCTGTTCTGTCAGGGATGACATTTTGATGAGTTCAACTATTTTTCACCTGATGTATGCTTTTAATATCTTCAATTGTCTTGCCATTTATTTCCAGACTGAATACATTTTACAGACCATTTATTTTCATAACCATTATTTAAAGAGCATACTGACTGGTAATGGTTAAGAACATGGCCCATGCAATAAGTTTGTATGTGAGGGGTAACAGTTGTGGTGTAATGCAGCTTTTTTGCTCTGTGTATCTTTTTGTATGTGGCCACAAAAAAAAAGTTTACCTCTGGGTATGTTGTATTCATCAAATGTCCTTTTTCACCACAGTGTTGTGGATATGTTTTTCATTTGAAGAGATAACTTGGAACACTGGAATTTCATGACTGTGTTATTAAAGGTTTTTTTAAGGGTTGAAGTCTCGTCTCACTTTCTTTGCTTACATTGTCAGACTGATATCTATCCCTGTCCTGGCCTTGGTGTATTTGTGTTTTTCTGCCACTAGGAATATTGTATACATATTCATTTTATTTTTCACACTATCAGAATTTTTATTTTTAAAAAAAAAAGGAACAATACATGGTAAAAAAAGAAACAAGTCAGTAAACAGAACACTTATTAAATGATGGTTAATAAAAATGCAAAAACAGGACTTTACCTGAAATCATGACAGAAGCAAAACCACATAAAACATGCCTGGTTCACACCAGAAATAAGCAGCAAAACACAAAGTAGAATTGTTAAGCTCCACCAAGGACGTCCGTAGTAAAAGTGGATCCCAGTGAACGCTTGGGGTGGTAGCCCGTACCACAGACTGATCCAAGGGACTCCCTGCACCGTCCAAGGATGAGTAATTCCACCTATAAACCAGTAATGCATCAGAGAGTGTCCGGTCAAGCCAGTATGAAAAGAGATGGAGAAAAGACAAAGGAAAAAAAGAAACACGAAAGAAAGATATAAGGAGAAAGTTCAAGAATCTGCCATGTGTGGTATGTTAGACAAAATAGTAGGAATAGAGAAGTAAACTGTGCCCAGAGGACCACTAGAACCACCACCCTATGAACTCAAAAGATGGTATTGGCTCATCCACTCAATCCGATAATTCAGAAGATTGAGGATTATCTCTAGAGAGTAACCAGGGACACCAAATCACCAAGAACATATCTGTCATATAGTTGGGTCGTTCCCCCATATGCATCAAGCGATGTCTGCTTTCCAGTGTCTGAATTACAGCCCTGGCTGCAATAACGGATGGACAATAAAGATCCAGGAAGCATGGAAAGTAAGGCCACTTGTGTAGTGCGGGGAGAAACAAAAGAAGTCGCCTTCTGATCACGTTTCAAAGACCATAGTCCAAAATGGTACTAATTTC